CTTCGATATGATTTTAACTGAACATGTCGTTGAAAGTGCTAAAGTGAACTAGCTTCTGTTAATAAAATCTTATAAACTCTTGCCTTAAAGTCACGCACGTTGTAATCGGATGTAATGACAGACTCTGGAAAATTATTCCATTACTGTGCTGTACATAGTAATAATATATATCCTTCGGCTATATGTTTCGTGAACAACGAAGCAAACCGTTTCATTTTAATTCCCTTTGTTATATAAGAATCCCGTTTTGATGTCGACATCCCTTTCTTCTTAGGGTTTAATTCACTTTACTTTGATGTAGCTGTACTACGTATCTTTCCTAAACTTAGTTTGTCGCATTCACTTAAAATCCTAAATCATCCCTATCCCAGTTTTATTAAAAAGGAAATATAACATATAAATGCACTGTAAAACTTGCATTTTTTATCTATTGTAACAAAGAACGCAAGTAAGAAACATAATGAATTTGAGATGAGAGTGCCAGGAGAGGCCTAAGTTGTACCATAACCCCAGACATAGTCCACAAAACGTGGCGTAACATAAAGAAAATATTGTAAGCATATAATGGGATGAAAATTTTACTGCGGATACAAAAAACTTATGTTGCTTTAACTATGTAATATGTATTCTAAATTTTGATGGCAACGTATCTAAATGGTCAAATTCATAGATAACTTCGCTACTGGGTTTGAATCCCGGCACACCGCACATCGTCATTTTCGTTGTATATAAGGCCGCCAGTACGTTTCCATATCCTGTGGCTGTATACTAAAGTGCCACGCAGTAGAAGATACACTTCTGGTGTACATTTAGGAATTCTATAAGTCACATATGTGAAAACAATATTTTAAATTAAATAAGACTAATATACGAGTACTTAGTTCACGACATGGTAATTGGATGTCCTATCCCATAAACAGCTACGTATATCCTATTGATAAAGAATAAAAACACAAATGTGTTCTATTACCTAAGGACTAAGATCGAATGACAATATGGAGGATCTTCATTTCTCATCTCTCGCCGTACGGTAGTTACTATAAAGCAATTACAATTCGAACTGGTACCATTATCTTATTATTAAAAAAAATATTTAGTATTTATCCGTCATTCTGGAACTTTGCTAATATAGATTTTACTACTACAACCTAGACAGTTTTTTAAATCTAAAAATTGCGCAGCCTGTACTTAAAATATGAAAAATTAAGAATATAAAAAATAAAACGGTAATAGCATCGCTATTAACATTTTTAATATTCCCGAAACTCCTTCAATATTTTTTTTTTTTTGAATAGGGGTGACATTGTGACATTTCTAAATTCGTATATTATTGAACCCGGTTAGATTTACATGAGTGTTCAGTAAACAATATATTAGTACCTAAATTAAAACATACAAAATAAATTTAGAATTGGAGAGAGATTGAAGATTTAAAAAAATGCTATTTATTTTAGACTTAAATATTACCTGCAATATTTCGTGCCAAATTACATTTATTAATGAGCGTATAAACTGAACCATAATAGTTAATGACACTGGACATGACTTGAACTTTTAAACAGTTCTTTGATTGCCAGCTGCTTTTTATTTGGAGTGGTTTGGCAATAATTTTGCACTACTAAATTATTAAGGTGCCAGTATTTCGTTTATATTTATTTATGGTTTCTTTTATGGTCTTTGTAAAAAACACGGTATAAAATTTTGAAATATTTTTATTGTATTTGTATTATGATTTTTTACATACTTCAATAATTTAATTTTTTTGTAAGTAAAGCGATAAGGTAAAATTTTTCTCAAATGAGACTGTATGGGCACACAATCCATTCGTCTGTGGACCATTCATAAGAGTCTAAGTCAAAAGTCGACAGCTAAACGTAAACTCACATTTACAGTTCTTCTGATAACGTGCTTGTCACTGAACTACTCCTAAGAGGCTAGACCAATTTTGATAAAATTTTTCGTATGTGTTTGAGTGGGTTTAGGTTCACAGTTAGAACCGAATAATTTTATAACCGATGCTTTGTGCCAAATAATTTTGAAGGAAATTCTTTTGCCTTTATGTTCAATGATAAAGTGATCAAAGGGTTAAATCGTAGGGATTGTACTCTACATGCATTATAAGTTGGCAATTACTCATTTAGAATTTAGCAAAATAAAATATTATTAGGTTAAAATAAGATACTATATAATTTTTAATGTTATTGCACTTACTTTTACTTATTTTTAACAAGTTTATCTGGAAACTAGGCATTCCATCTCAGTCCTTAAGGATGACAACGCATTCTGGATTTGATTCTTAATCGAGGATAGACGTAGGTGTCTATGAATACAACATATACTAACCTTGAAAATTGCTCGTTTGTCACCCAATTTCATCTTTATTCTATAAATAAAAAATACGTATTAAGAGAAATATAATCAAATTCGTGAGAATATAAAGTAAAATAAAAAATAAAAAGCTTCCAACTTCTGGATAGTGATCTCTGAATATGTTGTATGTTCGGCACGGGAAAATGTTTGTCACGTTTTCCTTATGCATTTTGAGTGTAATAAAGTTCGTGTGTCATTAAAAAAAAATATGTCTTGCCTACACGTAGTTCCTACTGATGGTAACTTTTTATCTTTCTCAAAAACATTATTACAATTTTAAATGTAATATGTAATTTAATTAGGATAAGATGATCATTTTTGTTCTGTTTTTCTGTTTCATTCTCGTCTATTTTTTTTATAAAAATAAATTTTATATGAAACAATTGTTAATATATAGCAAATTTTTATCCTTTATGAGCGCAATATTTAATTAATATAATTTTAATGAATAACTAGCATTAGCTTAATAAATTTAAATCTTTATTTAATACGGAACAAACCTATTACACACACTGGGTGCGTACTTTTATTTTGTGATTGTACACGATGAATTTTTCACAAAACGCAATTATAGTAATACCGTTTTGAGTTATAAAAAGCGTTTTTTTTTTCAAAAGACGATAAACTAACTTTGATTGAAGTAGATTCAACAATTAAATAGTCCTTCATACTTTGAAAGGTATTAAAAAACTATTGCTTAATAAGCTTACATACTTTAACTGTAGTAGTAAAACTACAAAAGTTAATTATTATAACTTAAATTAAATACTATATTATTTATTTTAATTTAAAAGTTTTAGAGACCTTAATTACAGCTTTATGCACTAACTAAATTTACTTTACTAATCTAGTCCAGAGCTATAAATGTAAGTGCAGGGTCATATATACTACTATTAACACCATTTGCTTGTACATTTCATTCTTTTATATCGGACAAGTAAAAGTAAAATATACGATCACAACCTATATTATATTATACGTCCCGCCGTGGTCGCCGCTATTTTCTTCAAGTCATGTAAAGAATTTGATTGGTGCCAGCAGAGTCAGAACACGGATTGCTCGAGTACTTTGAAGTTTCCGCTGAACGCTGTCTCTTAGTTACGAGAGTTTCTGGATTACGCATCCGATTATTTTATCGCATTACAAAATCTTAAAATTTTTTCATTATTAATTTCTATATATTCAGTAACTTACATTAAGTTAAAAAAATCTATCTAATTATGAAGAAAATTATTGTAGATCCGTTACAGATGCTAATCACCAAATTAAGGAGTGAGGAACAATGGTTTCATGCAATGATGTCAATATCCAAAAATGGACGGAATGGATGTTGAACCGAAAAATGTGATAAACACAATACAAGCGTATATTATATCCGATTTATATATTACTTATTTATTTATTTAAAACTTAAATGTAACACATTAAGCTAAAGGGTACATAGCCATATAGCCATGTAGCATTCTCTGCCAGTCAACCCCGGGTGCCAAGGACAATTTGTTCGTAGGTGCGAACATAATACATAAATAAAGTGTACATATATAAATATATATATATATATATATATATATATATATATATATATATATATATATATATATATATATATATATATATATATATATATATAAAGTACACAAAACGTTTGAATATACACACATATAGCATAAATATACATACATACATATAACACATATATAAATGTTGTACATCGTACATAAAATATATGAACGATATATACATAAAATATAATGTTTAAATAATATATGAAATAAATATTTGAAGTAAAAAAGTGAAAAAATAAAGAAAACATAATGTCAATTAGTAGTTGCCCTCAGGTAATGTAGAACTTTGAAGACTTTTTTATTTGTGGTATTCTTAATATCATTGGGTAGTGTGTCCCAAAGTTTTATAACTTGTATCTTAAAAGATGACCTGAAAAAGTTAGACGTATGCCACCTATCCTGTGGAAACCTTAACGATAGACGATTTGACTGTCGAGATGTTCGACTGCCGATCGAAAGAAGTGAATGAAAATAATCCTTAATATAAGAAGGCGACCTTGGACGTTTAAAATTGAATAAAGTACAAGTAAGATTCTAGAGCATCTCCTTTGACGTATACCTATACGTCGTTTAAGGTGAACTCTCTTCCTTCTTTTTCTCTTTGAACGATAGGATGATATGTGGTCATACTTACGTTAACCAAAAAATAAACCTTACGGAATTAATAAGAAGGCGCTCCAACTTGTTTAGAAGATTTTCTGATAGATCTGGGTAACATACATCTACATAATCGATAATAGGTAGAATGAACCAGCGTAAGCTTGGTTTTGAAAGGTAAGGACATATTTAACCCTTAACTGGTATCGGGGGTCACAAATCACCCCAAGCGAACACATATTCCATCATATCTTCCTAGTCTAACCACGCACACTCTTGCGCGTCTATGTAATCTCAGTACGTCGCGAGGTGCGGCGGGTGACGGACGTTCGTCGCTCTAATATTGCTGGAAGCGGAGGTACGTACACTGCTGGGGTCAAAAATCACCCCCGACACCAAAAGTGTTCATTTTTTTTGTAAAGGCATTTTGAAACATTTTTGTATCTTTTTTAGGCAATAATCATCACGATGTCTGGTTTTTTAAATTTAAATCAAATTGCGCAACTTTTGGAAGACGAAGATAAAGAATCTGATTCAGAAATCGTCCAAAACACCATAACAACAATCTGTGACGATGAAGACATTAGTGATTGTGAGGAAGCGGAGGTAGTTAGCTGTTCTGAAGAAAGTACATTAGGTACAGATTTGGATTCTTTAAGTTCAAGCAGTGAGGAAGAAGAAGAAACTATACGAACTCCTGGTTTTTATAGGGGTAAAAATAGATACAAGTGGTCTAAAAATCCACCTAGCTCGTCCCGGATAAGACAACACAATATCATCACACAGCGTCCGGGCCAGGAGAAGCGCGTGAGAAAATTAATATGACGGAAACTGAATCCTGGCAATTGCTGATTCCTGATGATCTGATCGAAATTGTGTGTTTGCACACAAATGAAAAAATTACTGAATTTACTGAGAAGTATAGCAGCCACGGAGCGCATACTGATTCATTTTTTGGACTTTTGCTACTTGCCGGTGTTTTCAAGTCCGGACATGAGGATGTTGATAGTTTATATAGGCTACAGATGGCACAGGTGGCGATGTATTTAGAGTCACTATGTCTCTAAAGAGGTTTTTATTTATTTTATCAGCATTACGATTTGATGATGTATCGACAAGAAACGAAAGAAAAGAGACCGACAGGGCTGCGCTTATTTCTGAAATATTCAACAAATTCATTGAAAACTGTCAAAAAAATTATAGATGCTCAGAACACTTGACTGTGGATGAAATGTTATGCCCATTTAGAGGTAGATGCCTTTTCCGAGTTTACATGAAATCCAAGCCAGCTAGATACGGCATAAAAGTGTTGTGTTTGTGCGACGCTAAAACACATTATTTATATAATTCGTTTATTTACACTGGAAAGACTGGAACAAACAGAAGAGATGGGATATCTGTACCTACACAAACTGTTTTGAAATTGGCCTGATCCTGTGAAGAAAACTCACAGAAATATTACAGGTGATAACTGGTTTTCATCGGTTGAACTGGTTGACAAATTGAAAGAAAATGGTTTGACGTATGTTGGAACTATGCGGAATAACAAACGTGACGTGCCGCTTGAATTTTTTCCACATAAAACGCGCCCTGAAGGCTCTACTTTATTCGGATTTACCAACGATAAAACACTGGCATCGTATGTTCCGCAAAAAAACAAGAGTGTTGTTACGATTTCCTCCATGCACCACGATCAATCTATTGATCCAGAAAGCGGCAAGCCGGAGGTCATACTTTTTTACAATACTACAAAAGGAGGCGTAGATGCCCTTGATCAAAAATGTGCAAATTATTCGGTAGCTAGGAGAACTCAACGATGGCCATGCGTTATATTTTCGGCTATCCTGAATATTTCGATGGTAAACGGTTACGTTTTGTGGAATGCAGCAAACCCAGATAAGCATCTAAAAGAAATAAATATATAAAGAATATTGGAATTAAGTTAGTAACACCATTTGTGCAAATTAGACAAAAAGAATCTTCCAATTTCTCGGCAGATCTATAGAGATGTATAGAAACATTTCTGAAAGAACATCTAGAGGAAGACGTGGAACCGGAACTAAATATGCCTATTTTTGACTCTCAAATTAGCAACCGTAAGAGAGGAAGGTGCTACTTATGTGATCGCAAAAAAGACCTAAAGTGTACGAAAAAGTGTAGCAAGTGCTTACTTTTCATTTCTAAAGAGCATACTGCCAAAAAAGTCACACGTACCAAATGTTAGAAATTTAGAGGTAGTTTTTGGAACTTTTGTTTTATGTTGTCTTTTTTTTTATGTTTAGTACATCTGAAAAGAAGTTTTATTTTTTTTATATCTAGACTATATAGGAAAACGAGACAAGAAAAAAATAATGTTATATTTATATTTTTAATAGAAAGAAGAGTTCCTAAAGTAACATGTACCTACAGTAATTACAAAAAAAGAAGGATATAGGTTAATTTTGAAAACAAAATGTGATTTAAGATTAATTTGGGCTTGAATACTGATTGATCTCTAGATTCAAAGTTGTAGTTTAATAAATAAAATTTAAAATTGAAAATATGTGGTTATTTGTAATATTTTTGCATCATTTAATTAAAGGGATCATTTTTCACCCCCGATACCAACTACGTTACCTATTTTAGCGATTCCAGTAGAGGGTTATGACGATAAAGGGAACGCAAATAACAACAACTTTACGATTTACTTCAGAGATCTGCAATTTCAGGTCATAGTTTTATCCACGTACAAGCCCAAATTTTTTATGGAATTACAATACGGAATCAAAGTTCCATTATAAATTACAGGAGAGAGATTTCTATTATCAACCTTAGCAATAATTGCGAACTTCCGAAGATTATCGCTTTGCATTTGGCTGGATTAACAGAAACGCCATATTTACAAGACCATTCTCTTATGGCTCCAGGTTATGATTTAGTTTGTGTATTATAAAGTTAAGAATATTTAAGCCTGACTGCACATAGAGCTGAAGATCATTCGCATACAGATGGTACGAAAAATCTAATACTTACTAACAGAATGTCAAATAGTGAATAAAGTTTATTGTTACTTAAATATTATATATTATTATATTATAGGAGTTGAAGTGAGCACTTTTGGATTTTCCAAATATTTAGAAGAGATATAATTTATAAATAAGGAAAACACAATAAGAGAAAGTATTCCGCCTTGCGGTACACCAGCATATATTATCTGACACAAGTTTGAAGTGGATGTATGACGTTGACAAATAATTCGGCTAAACATAGCTGGTAGAGAATGCCATACAACATTAAGCTCGCCTTTTGTACAAAATCTTTGGTGCAATAAAGAATAAATAAATAAGTAAAAACATACCTGAGCTTTGAGCTGTCGAAAATCGATGTATAATACAAAATGTTCCGCCATTAGAGTATCCGTTTTACGTCGGGTCCGATATTGACAAGAAAGAAAGAGCCATTCTACTAGATGAATAGTCGAAATTATGAAATAAACGTAGGTTCTTATATGACACGATCATGACAGATGATTGTCTATGAGAAGAACGAAAAAAGAGGAAGCAGATCCGCCTGTTTCTTCCATAACGCGATAGTATTAGAAATCTACAAGTTTACAGGACCTGGGCTTTCCATACGAACACACACGCACGTACACACACGTTCAAAAACAAGATGTACCTAATAATATTGGCACATAAGTTGTCACTACCATAACTCGTACAATATCGTACGCGCTATCGAAATTTAATACTACCCGAGCAAACGGAATCTGCCAGTGTACAATGAGGCAAATATTATAAAACCCTCTACAAAATGGAATAAGGTCTACCAATTTTTAGTAAATATGTAGGCTGGTAACTATTATTTAGTACTTCTAGCTCTATGTCTATTAAAATAATAATACAAGGACACTAAAATAACCGTCGAGAATGATAATCCCATAAATACTGGCAAGTTTTACACGAGTACCTTTGCTTGTAATACATTTGCTTATACATCTGTTTGCCTTATCATTATTAATGATAGCTATCTATCATTAAATACGTAAGAAATCTTAATTAATTTTAATTGTATATAACACTGAAGTAAGTAATATAATTGTATATCTTCTTCTTCTTCCATCCCTGATCCCGTTATTTGGAATCGGGTCTCCTCACTTGTCTGCGCCAAGACAAACGGTCTTGGGTTGTCACATCTGGCAACTGGGCTTTCCTTAGGTCTCTTGCGATATTAGGCCACCATGTCATTGGCGGGCGGCCTCTGTTTCTCTTTGTTTCTGGCAAGCTTAGAGCTATTTGAACTGCATGATCTTCGCTGCATCTTTTAATATGTCCATACCATCTTAGGCGATTTTCAATGGGTTTATCTGTAATAGGTGCGACTTTAAAGCTGCCAGGTATATGTTCATTACGGACTTTTTCAAGCCGAGTCACACCTCCCGCCCACCATCTTCATTTCGTTAGTATGGACCTTTTGCTCATGCGTTTTTTTTTTTGTTTTCCAACATTCAGAACCATACAATAGCACGGGACGTACTGCGGTTTTATAAACTTTGCCCTTAGTTTTTTTGGGAATACTTGGATCAAACAATACCCCGGTAAGTGATCGCCATTTTAGCCACGCGGCACTTATTCTATGGACCACGTCTGTGTCAACATTTGCATCTGTGGTAAGCATAGAGCCCAAGTATATAAATGTATCTACTGTAGGAATAGGTGTTGTCCCAATACAGATAGTTTCAGATACCGTGTTTCCACTGTAAGGGCATTTAAAATACTCAGTTTTACTTCCTACTCAACCTCAGGCCGTACTTTTCAAGAGCGTGTGTCCAGGTATTAAGAGTTTCCTGCAAATAGCTTGCGGTATCAGCAGCTAAGACAATGTCATCCGCGTATAGAATAGTCCATGGCAATGGGGCAGGTATATCCTTAGTGAGGTAGTCCATAACCAGATTGAATAGGAGGGGACTTTGAGCAGATCCCTGATGGATACCCACTTTCACTTCAAAAACTTTACTCACGCCGGTTGGGCTTCTGGCTCTCGTGTTGGCCTTGCAGTACATATCTTTTATAAGTTCGATATAATACTCTGGCACCCTTTGGCCACGAAGTGCCTGCTATACCAGCCTACGTGGAACTCAATCAAAGGCTTTTTCTAGGTCTATGAATGCTAGATGTAGGTCATTATTGTTTATTTTATGTTTTTCCATCAGAATTCTAATTGTTTGGATGACATCAATAGTTGATCTGGTTGCTGATTTGGAGATATTTCGGCAATGTCAGTGAGCCGTTTATTAATAATTCGTTCCCATATTTTAAGTGTATGTGAGGTCAATTTAATACCTCTATAGTTTTCACACTGCGTTACATCGCCTTTATTTTTATAGAAAGGTAGTAGATAGCTTTGACGTTGGCGTTAGAATAATGTTTAAAAGCTTGGTTAGCTAAACTGCCGCTACTGTCCCAACGCTTTTACATAGATCCGCTGGTATCTCGTCTGGGCCTGTAGCTTTTCGGTTTTTCATTTTGGTTATTGCATGTTTGACTTCAGCTATATCCACCTTGGGGATTGATCCAGATGTAGATTTGCAGGGTCTTCATTTGGAAATTCTTTATTTAATAGTTGTTTATAATATTCATACCATCTATCCATAATTTGTGAGTTGTTTCTTAACAATTTTTGGTCTTTACTTTTAATGTATTTGTTTGTCTTTATATTCCTAGTGGTCCTGTTTCTAGATTTTGCTACTTTTAATACTTCATTTACAGTTTTAGCATTTTCTAAATTATTGTGGCAGGCTTGGATACTAATTGCTCTTTCTATGGCTATACATTTTTTTGCCTGTT